TTATCTTGAATTTGCAGTCTAGTTAGCTTGAATTTGCAGTCTAGTTAGCTTGAAATTGAAATTATTATGAAGCAAGCTGAAACACGTAGAACATTTGTTCGAGCAAAACATTGCGAACAAACTGCTTACGGAAAAAAGTACAGTGCCCGGTTGCAACACCCTTGCTTATCGCGAAGGTAATCATGATAGTTGATAAATTTCTTCGCAAGCGAAAAACAAATAAATTTCGCGTGTTTAAAATGACAAAATGCTCAAAGTACTTCTGTTGCAGTACACTTCCAACAGATGATTTATCTAGTGAGTCAGAGGCCTCAGGGGAGATGACTACTGTAGGGGAATAAAATTGAGTCATATGCAATGAACCTTGTGATGAATCGTGTCAAATTCGATTAACAGTTTCGACAAGAATAAAGTTCATTCAAAACACATAAAGCTGCTATTCACAATTACAGGCAAAAGTGCTATTCACAATTACAGGCAAAAGTAATCTCCAAGAATTCGAGTTAGTCTCATAAGAGCCCTTCAAAAAACAAGCCTGAAAAGGCTCGGGGAGTTACAGGATCCGGGTTTTGTTTGCATACTACACCATTGCGACTGTCTGCTAAATACTGGACAGCAATGAATGTCCTTTAATTGAACTGATACAGCTTCTAGCTGTTTGAATGACGCGAAAAGTTTTTGATGAAACGCGTAATTTTTTCGACCACAGAAAGGGTCAGTAAAATAAAACCATCGCTAGGTGTGAAAGCAAAACGATATTGCTAATGATTTTACTAGTGATGCAAGGTTTTTAGGAAAATAAAAAATTGATTTTAGTATAAAATTACTCTTTTCAATCAAATCGTGATTGATATTTATTCACAGCGGAGCTTTGCTTCACTTGCGCAAACAAATGCCAGTGGTGTCCACAAAAAACGGCAAAATTTATGAATTTTCTGTTTACATCAAGGTAAGTTAAGAGAAGACACCCTACAGTCCTGTGAAACTACAATCATCCATAAAAGATGATTTTTCATACTCAACGAGGCAGCGAAATAGTTCGTGAAAAACTGGAAAAAAAATTTTGGCAGCTAGAAAAAAAACGTGGTTTCAAAAAAATTTGACTGCGGCAACTATAAAAATTTAAGACAAATATCCATTCAATGCTTTCTTCTGACTAAAATGAGAATAAAAAGGCAACACAAAGTTTCAACTCAGAGGCGAAGTTGCACTTCGAATACACAAGCAAAAGTATGACCGTTAACGCTACTGGGAAAAATTGAATGAGTATAACTTTGAGTCTACAAACTTTCTTAAGGGACGCACGCCAATTATGAGTCTACAAAAATGCTAACTGACGCAAGCCAAATGAGGCGCATTAGCAGTATCAGTCAATTTTTAGAAGAAAAAAGAATTTACCAACTAACATTCCTCAAATTATAGAGCATACGCATTTCAACTAATATACGAAAAAGCTCATTAAAATGATCCGACCTTGGCCAGGTTTGAACCCTCGTATTTTGCTACGGGTCTCCTTTTCTAACTCTTCGCTACAGGTCCATGATATCTTGAAGCTAAAATGCTGTTTGTGACATAATAGCCTGAGTTAATATCCTTAGCATCGGCTGTACTTAATAGCTGGTTATTGATCAAAATGAACTTTCAAAATGAACACTAATATTTGCGACTTAGGTTGGAAAAAAGAGTGTTCATACTAACACACAAGCTTTGCTTGTGTGAAAAGCTTTTAAATCTAATAAACTATCACAGGAATACACCGAGAAGGTTTAAAATTGTAACAAAAAATGCATTACTGTTTATTTTTCAAGCCCAACATTTAAGCCCGACAAATTTTGTCTAAGAAACGAAAGATTTAAAGAAGAACAAGGAGTGTCCTTTTTGCGGAATCGGCTCACAAACTACACAGTTTGGCCTCGTAAAGATTTTTTCAGTTTTGAAAAGGAAGTTCCAAGCTCATTTCGAACCCTTGCACGATGAAGTTCAATTTCTTGAATCAAGACCTCTTATGGTTAATTGATTGTTGAGCAAGTTGGAGCAAAAATCTATGTTCTGATTTGATATCGCTTGCTTAAAGCAAACATAAACACAAAGATGAACTGGACTTTCTCACCCCTTGCGATACAACACAAACATAAAAAAAGATAAAAAAAAGTCGAAAAAATGAAAAATTTTAAACTTTTGTTTTCTAAAATTTAAATTCTTGTTGTGTCACCATAGGAGTTCTAGGCAAATTGAGTTCCAGACATGTTATATAAATTTTAACAACGAAACGAAACTTACAAAAATAAAATAAAACCAATAATCTTTGAGCTTACAAAAGTTCAGTAAAAAAATTATGAGTAAAAAAAATATAATGAGGAAAAAATCATGAACAACACTTGCACTTGTTACTACGATGAAAAAGGCCTACAGCATAAGAGAATCTTGTCATGACACCTAAGCGGAAAATCTTGAAGCAGACATCAGTTGAGCCTAAAAAAATTAATTAAAAGTATTTGAAGTCCCCCCCCCTGAAACTAGAAAGAACAACACTTGTACTTTCAACAACAATGAAAAGTGGTCTCAACACAAGAAAGACCCCTGATGTGGCACGACAACTTAGTCAACGACCTTGGAACAGACGCCACTTGAGCCGAAAAAAAAATGATTTCCTTAAAAGAAAAGAAAATTTTTCAAGTCCTTTCTCAAACTCCAATGAACTACGTTAGCGCTTGCAACTACAATAAAGTGGCTTACAGCACGATGAAGTCCGAGATAAGAAAACATAGCTCATAAGAATAAACAACTAGAATAAAAAACACTTGCATTTGCAACTTTAATGAAAATGATTCACAGCACAAGAAAACCCGTGATGTGACAACTAAGTCGACAGCCTTCGAGCAGACACCAGTTGAGTTGAAAAAAAAAATGATTAAAAAAATTAAATCTTTCAAGCTTCCTGAAATTACAATGAAATACACTTGCTCTTGCAACTACAGTGAAAGTGGCTTACAGCACAAGGAAATTTTTTTGCGACAGTTTAGCTGAAAATCTTGAAGCAGACATCAGTTGAGCCGAAAAACAAATAAAAAAGAAATTTAAAATGTTTGAAGTCCCCCTCCCCCGAAACTAGAAAGAACAACACTTGTACTTTGAGCGGCAATGAAAACTGGTCTCAACTCAAAAAAAAAACTGTGATGAGGCTTGAAAACTTAGCCGACGACCTTGGAGCAGACGCCACTTGAGCCAAAAAAAAAACAAATGATATGATAAAAAAAGAAAAATCTTTCAAGTCCTCCCTCAAACTCCAATGAACTACATTAGCGCTTGCAACTACAACAAAGTGGCTTACAGAACAAAGAAGTCTGAGATTTGACAACATAGGCTCATGTAAATAAACAACTAGAATTAACAACACTTGCATTTGCAACTACAATGAAAATTGTTCACAGCACAAGAAAACCCCATGATGCGACGACTAAGCCGACAACCTTGCCTTAGAGCAGACACAAGTTGAGCCGTAAAAATTCTTTAATAAAAAAAACTTAAATCTTTCAAGTCCTTGAAACTACCATGATCTACACTTGCGCTAGCAACTACAATGAAATTGGCTTACAGCACAAGGAAATCTTGATATTTTAACTAACCTGACAATCTTGGAGTAGACATCAGTTGCGCCGAAAAAAATTAATTATAAAAAAGTTTTAAGTGTTTGAAGTCCCCCTGAAACTAGAAAGAACAATACTTGTACTTTCAACTACAATGAAAACTGTTATAAGCACAATAATAACCCGTGATGAGACAACTAAGCCGACAATTTTGGAGCAGACACCAGTTGAATCCAAAAAATTAGTTATATAACAAAAAATTACTATGTTTCAAAACCACCCCTGAAACTAAGATGAACAAAACTTGCACCTATAAAAAATAGTTTATAGCGCAAGAAAAAACCCTTGACGTGGTGACTAAGCCCTAATACAATCTCTATTTTACCCTAAAACAATCTCAATTTCATACATGCAGAAAGTCTGCCCGAGACTCGAAACCCAAACCGTAGGGTGCAAAGGCGACGTCGTTACCTGTAAGCCAAGTGGCAATGAAACTGGAAGTAGAGGACTTGTAAAGAGGAGAAAAATAAGAAAACAATAATAACGAAGAAAGTTTGTTTATGGGGGAAAAGTCTAGATCCCCATAAGTCATTAATAATAAGTCATTAAGGTAAAATGATACAACCCGCAGGGAGTCAAGGCGGGCCAAGCAAAAGCAGGTTCCACAAAAAAAAACATTAGAATGCGTCGCGTGATATATCAAATTAAAACCTTGTCAGTTGAGAGTCTAACATTTAAAAAATTCAAAAAATTGTCAGTGCCGAGAAAAACTAGTTTTCAATTTGAGTTTCAGTTCAATTTTGGTAGAGATCGTTATAAAAATTTAGGACTTATTCAGGCTTTTAGACAAAGAAAATTTGCTCTTGCTAATAAAACTAATTTTGTAAGTTTCATTTGGCACTTTCTGGCCAAAAAACATCCTGGCCAACTGAAAATTGTTGCCAAGTATGAATTTGAAAAACTCATTTGTAATTCCTTTTTTGCAGACAAATGTTTTTAAATTTGCCAAAATTTCTACGCGTTTCTTGTTTCTCATCAAACCACGCACTAAAAACGACACTTATTTGAAGACTCATAGTTTTTTATGAACGTGGTCGGAACATGCTGTGCTTTGCATACCAACCGGCTATCCTTGTTTAGAAAGCAATTGGTATATCTACACAGAGCATTCATGCGATGAACATCGCTAGTTGAGGGTTTCGTCACAGAAGAAATCCACAAGGAAATTGTACATCGAATGTCCATATTGTAGGGGGGGGGGGGCAACTTAATAAAATGAAACGGTTTTCAAAACAGGATTGAGCTTGTTCCGCGGTAACTCGTACAATCAAGTTTTTAATTGCCCTTTTTAATTTTCAAAACAAAAACGAATTACAGCGGTAGACAATCAAGTTTCCATTTTTCCTTAAGTGCTTGATTTTACAATAGATTTTATTGAATTTCGTAATTTACATATGTACAATATCCACTAAACTTGCATATTTGATAGATTTTGTCGATTTTATCAACAATTTAATCTACAGTCGATTTTATCAACATTGAATTTAGTAATTTACGTATGTACAATATCCATGAAACTTACATATTTGATAGTTTACCATGAAATAAAGTTCGTTATTTCTCAATTCGCATTCATTGTAGCCAATATCTTGTTTCTAATGTCAGATATTATGCCTATTTGTTGGCCGGTTAATTTTACTTTTCGCCCATCAGTTGAGCCCATGGCAGTTCCGAGGGTTTGGTAGCGGCCTTGATGCGCTGCCATGTCTTCTGGTGAGTCTTCAGGGACATCTCCGCAATCTCCACCTTCCTTTCCCAGCTGCGCACCACTCCCTTCAACTCAGTCAGCTCCGCCTTGTCCCGCACGTACTCTATCACTTCCGGCACCCGGAAATTCTCCAACTGGCCCCTCAGACGCTGGTTTTCCTCGTACGCTTTCTCTTGTTCCTGCAATTGGAGATAGAGCTTTTGAAAAATCTTTGAATACAATTTCACTATTCATACCAATTTTTTTTACCCCAATTAATCCTTTTGAAGAAACGTGAGATATGGCCAGCCAAAAAGTGTACCAGATATTCTATCCCTAAAATTGGAAATAATTTCCCATTTTAAGTTGCTGCAGTGGCGCACGCCTCCCCCTTGACTTCAGGGATTCGACACACTAGCCACCCAAAGGATCTCTTTTGGTACAATTTAAGCACCTCTATTTTTGGTTAAACAATTAAGTTTTTCAAGGGCGCCTTCGCACATTTTTCTCAAAAATTTGCCTGCGCCACACAAGCGGTTTGCTTTTTAAAGGCGCTTCGCACACTTTTACGTGAGCAAAATAAGTGCATTGGGAGAAGTCGGAATATCAATTTGGTCGACCTAAAAGAGCGACAAAATTTTCGAACTTTTTTTGAAAAACCTTAAAGCCTTCTCCAAGAACATTTTCTTCTCTCCTATTTACCTTCTCCACTCCTGAACTCTCTTTGGTGATGCTCTCCAGCATAATATGTCTCTTCTCGAGGTCATCGATCAGCTGCTTATTCTCTTCCGTCATTTTGTTCAGCTTCGTCTGAAAGATAAAACATGAAAGATAAGACAGAAATGAAATCGATAACTCATGAAACAACAGAAGAAACTTTCGAATTTCAAGAACAGCCTACGATTGACACTTTTTTGATTAAATTAGCCCAATTTGAAACCTGGATCATCAGGTAAATTTTTTATTCCGCTGTGAAATCTGAAAATTGAAATCCACATTCGATATTAGAATTCGATCACGTTTTTTGAGACACTTTCACTTTTGCTGTTCAATCCGCCTCTAGTTAAAAAATATATATGAAATAAACTATTAACAAATTTGAAATATCGGTGCAACAAGATATAGTTTCAAAAAACCGTTTGCATTAAAACCAATAAGAGAGAAAGGAAAACCTTGTATTTGTTGAGGACTTGCATAGTGTTGCCAGCCATGAGTTTGAGTCTGAGCAGTTCTTGGTTTTTGTCGTCGATTTTGTTCAAGTACTGCTGGTTCTCAATCTTCAGTTGCTTGAAGTCCACTACAGACAGAATCTCGCCCATTTCTTCTTTCTAGGCAGAAACCTACCATTCAACATCAATTGAACATAGCCAAGAGACAGTTGGAAAAAGTCCATAAACGCACGTACCATAAAAAATCTCACTTTCCCAATTCAAACAAAAAATATGTGGCCCTAAATCTCTTTTAATTTCAAGAGCAATTTAAGCTCGGCACTTTTTTGATCAAATTAACCCAATGTGAGAATACGGATTATCAGGAAAAATATGACGGGGAAGACCTTTCGACTGCATATTTGTGCGTTTCAGGTTTTTATTCCGCTGGGAAATCTAAAAATTTTATTCATTTTCGAAACTAGAAAACGATCGAGTTTTTCCGCGCTATTTCAGCTTTCATACTTGGAGAGTGCATTTTTCCTACCTTCTAGCAAATAAACTTAAATTGAACTCAAAAAATGTATATGCAAACACTAGCGAGAACACGACAAAAAGAAGCTCTATAGAGTACAATAAGAAAATAAGAAGTAAGCCTCGAAATAGTAAAAATTCGGCTACGTCTGAGATTCGAACCTGCGCCCTAAAGATTAAGGCTCTTGTTCCTTTTCCCCACTTCACACAATCATCAATTTTATGGTCTAACAAGTGGTTTTACAAGGTTGATTATGAAGACCAAATATGTTTGTCATGGCCTAATTTATCTTTTCATGACAATTGGACAATGTGAACAGTAGTTTTAATTATAAAAAAATTGCAGGTGGGGGAGAGGAGGAAAAAGAGCCAAGATTAAGAGTCTCACACTCTAACCACTCAGCCGCGGAATCTTAATTGGTACCAAACACTAGCCACAAATAAAGCAGATAACAGATGCTATGCAGTTTCCAATGCTACAGTGAAATTTCCAAATAAGGGAACACTTTTAAATAACACTTTAATTTGCGAGTAAGTTAAGAAAAAAGAAAGTTCGTAATAATATACTAAGCTGAACGCAAGTGTAAAAAGCGGCAAATGTTCGCATGGCAACTTTATCACAATTCAATGCTTAGTTGTTCCTCGAAACATTCCATATAGTCCCACACGCACTCATGCATGAAGTTTGGTTTGCGGTGCATTGCTAAATCAATTCATTTCAAATTGGTTACACAATTAATATGGAAAATTCTCTGCGATGAATTGTCGCTTTTTCATGTGATACGAATTACCGCCTGCGACTAATTGTCACTTGCGGTCGGAACCATATCTGCTGCGTTATCATCAAACAACTTGACAATCCAAAAGACTGACACAAAAGTTAGTCCACAAGACGACTTAGACACAAAACTTTGTAGTCCAAAAGACGACTTAGACACAACTTTAAAACTTCATGAACAACAGACTTTCACACGTACTTGGATAGTAGTTACATGACAGCTTCACTTACGGATAAAATTAGGCTTTAAATCACCTAATAGAACTTGAACATAACATACAAACAAAATTGAACACAAAGGTGTCATTTTAGTTGGAGAAAAGTGGACAGACCTTATTGCACCAGACCTCGCTCAAATGTTAATCACCACTAGACTGATGACTCTAAAATGCCCACCTGTTTCAGTTGTTGCTTCATCTTCTTCACAGATGCCTTTAGAGTATTATTCTTCAGTCGCGTCTTGTCAATCATTGCATCTTTAGCTCGCAGCTTCTCATCAAAATGTCTGAAATCAACCACTTCAATTTGTCTAATTACACCCAGCTAGAAATATGTTCCGAAACAAATACAAATCCAAGAAAAATATAATCAGGCCCAGCTAACCTTGATAACAAGTTGCAGAAGCTCCATAATATCTCCATTAAGAATTTTGGAATCCTGACATGGTCTCTTAAAAGATTAGCCAAATTTGCAATGGCGAGATCAAATAAGTTGCAACAAATGGATTTTCTGGCTAATGATCAGCTTTTCTTTGATCTTCTATAAGGTCATTGGGAATTTAGCTGAAGGAAATGACTACGCCAATTATTGCCTAGTTTGCAAGTTCATGACCGGATTGGGCTAGACCTTCTAATGTCAAAATGAAACATATCCAATTCTATTGTATCAATCAGAGCACATTCATTATGGTTAAAATAAACTAGGAAAAACACGAATATGGCTTCTCGTTTGGAACATGCACTCAGAATTATTGTTACCTCTGAATTTTTTCAGCCAGTATCAGCCCAGTTCTGTTGTTCACAGCTCCCTTCACAATTTCTCGGTCGAACTCACGCTGTGCTTTCACCAGCTCTTCAATTGACTCTTTACTTTCTTGGAAGATCGCCTAAACAATTGACAGCTTATGACAACAATAACAACTAAACAAGTTACTTAATGAGAAGGACATAAAAAGTATTAAATATGACATCAATTGCAACCACTATCAAAATGTTGCATGTGACATGGATCTCGACTTTTTGCGAAGGATTAGGACAAATTTCTTTCTTAGGCCGATATATTTATTTTCTCAAAGAACACAAGAGTTTATTTTGCCAACATTTTCCGCGCCTTAGGTACAAGTTTCAGTAAATGAGCCGGAATTGCTTCCTAACGGTTGCAAGCCTGTGGTCAGGCCATTCTGTGATGAGATAATTGCCCAGCAACCGGATACAGTGTTGTTATATACATCCTTCTTGGTCGAAATTTACAGGCACGATGTTTTCGTAGCATAATTCACGTGAGCGAAAAATTAATAGATCCTATTACTACTGGAGCAGGAGAAAGTATAAGTACATTGTGGGAGTCAATGTCTCTTTCTGCCTCTTCCTCAAACTGTTTCTGCTCCTCCACCAACTCATCGTACTCTTTCTGTGCTATCTCCAACTTCTGCTCGGCCGCCAACTTCGCAAGTCTCAAACAGAAACAGTAATTCAACAAGCCTAACCATTATTTCTCATCCATTTTTTTCTTTGACCGGTGCTCAACCACTAGAAGCTGACACTCGGTCTTCAAAACCGACCAATACAAATATTATGAGATATCATTTGAAACTAATAATACCGGTCTGTACTGCTACTCCTTGACTTCGATCTTCTCCGGCGTCCCTCAAAGCCTCCTCCGGTCTGTGCAGGAGCTGCAATTGCACCAGATAGTAAATCTTTTGGGTCCACTCGTTTCAGAAAGGTCTCGAACATAACAGTTTCATTGTGCAACAGCTGGTTAAAGCGCCTAAAAAAGGGGCGGTAACGCTGCAGTTTTTTGTCAACAGATATCACTATTATACCATAGCAAACATAACAAAACAAACTGTTAATGAAGTCAGTTAATATGAATTGAAGTATATTGACTATTTTTCGAGTGAAAGGAAACTGAATAAAATCTACGAAGTGATTTAATTTAGAAAAACCCCAGGTTTGATATTTAATTGATAAAACTTGTTCAGTGAAAACCATATTTCATATTTAGGTAACACCAGATCGCTGAGAAAGGATGGAAAACAGATGAACTTGAGAAACCTCATATTGTTTTGCTCAGAAAACCAAACGGTAAGAAACGCCATATTCGGTTGAGTTTTTCCACGCAACATCAGGTAACACAAAAAATGAAAATCGAGTGACAGAATGAGAGGGAGTGAGGGCGCGACTCAACGGCTTGATTCTGGTAATGTATTACAAGACTGCTCGTATCAGGGTAAAGCCCTGCAGGTTCTAACTGCCCATTAACTGGTCTCGAGTAGTTTTTGATTAACGAAATATCGTTGACAAACAATGAATTTTAGCCTGATACTATCAAACTTTAAGTGATAAAATTTGAGTAGCGGCCTTTTTCACTATAGCACTCCGTGTGATGAAAGATACTTTACATTTAACTCATACTAGTTTTCGGCGACTATAATGATTGACATAACTCATATTAACCAAAATCAGTGAAAGCCGCAATGATATGCCATTTTTCAATCCGCTGATAATCTTAAAAAAAGTCAAGATACGGTTGAAAAAGTTAATGAACGCAAGTAAACAAAAAGTACTTTCCATTTTCAAAGCAAAAAAATAGATGGACTTAAAACTTTTGAATTTCTAGAGCAATTTACGATTGAGACGTTTTCTTTTAATATAAAATTAGCCCAACTTGAGAACGGTTTTTGCGCTATTTCCACATTCGTATTTGGAGAGCGCAATTTACCTAAAACACAGAGCAGATGAAATTGAATTGAGCTGTAAAACTGCATAAACACCTAAGTGCATTCATAAAAACATTAATGGATGAATGCACATCTGTAGTTATTAGAGCAAGTTAAGACTTTCTCCGGAAACAAAAAACAAACAAAAACAATCACCAAGACCTATATAAGAGTCTTCACCACGTTCAGTGACTTCTATTAGTTACGCATACAATAATGAAAACTTACGATAAAAGATAAAGCCAGTTTAAGCCCAGTACTTATAGCAAAATCTCATTTCGGAAACAAGGCTTATTGAGATCAAAACTGTGACTACGTTCTAAACGTTTTAACCTGCACTATTAGGAAGATTGAAAATGGCATTCTAGAACACTGCCAAGAAGAAAAAACGGTGCTGCGAAAACTAAGTCAACGAAAACAAGCAGTTTGATAGGAAAAGAAATTTGCAACAAAAGTTCTCTCTGGTACCTAATAATTCGAAATTTATTGCTAAAAATTGATATCCCTTACAAACATGTTGTGGGCGGAATCAAGCTCCGAATTCGACATTACGAGTCACACGTCCTAACTTCTGCACCATGACGGCATAACTTTAACCAGTAGCCACCAATAAGCCAGATACAAAAACATAATGCTATGCACCAAAATTTAACCCAATATCATGCTATAAAATGAGCATTTTCATTTGCGACTTGGGTTGGAAAAAAGTAGAGACCTTAATATATTAATATGACACCCCGCTCCGCATGAGTAAATAAAAATGACTGATAAGACACATCATCAGTCCTTTTTTGTTTGGATCAAAGTTAGTAGTTCCCGGTCAAAACTGGGCGTAATTTTCACTAACTGAGAATAGAAAAAAACTCAAAAGTTGAAGTGATTTCAATTCAAATTCTTTTGCGATAAAAACAACAAAGCCGTTAAGTCGGAAAAAGCGTAATTTTCACTAGCTTAGAATAGAAAGAAACTCAAAGTTGAAGTGATTTAAATTCAAATTCTTTTGCAATAAAAACAAGAAAGCCGTTAAGTCGGAAAAAATCGGAGATGTCGATAAAACTAGATCTATCAAAATGAATCAGACTAGCTTTGAAACAGAAACATGACGAGACAATAGAATGTGAGATTGGCAGCGGAAGAAAAATTAACAAGTGGTAGCAAAGCCGAAAAAACCTTACAAGAAACCCATAAAGTAGAAAAAAATCAAGATCTTAAGACTTATAAAAAGTTATGAAGTCCCCCTTGCCCTCCAAACACACACACACACACACGCACACACACACACACACGCACACACACACACACACACACACACACACACACACACACACACAAAATTGTTCGTTCTTCCAAAAACGCAATATTAGCCCATTAAGCCGATTTAATATAGATCGAAAACTATTAAGCGGAAATAAAGGAAATGAAAAAACAACAAAAAATTTTCAAAAAATTGGTTGTCATGAACAACTTTTATTTCAATAAAGATTTCTAGCTGTTTGTGCAATCTCTTGAAACGACTCAAAATTAGGTGACTAGCTTTTTGTGCAATCTCTTGAAACGACTCAAAATTAGGTCACTAAGCCGATAAAACATAAACCGAAATCATTTGGGCAGAATAAATTTTTTAAGCGGAAAAAAGGAGCTATGCGAAGTCAAGTCGGCAACTAAGCTGACAAATTATAAGCAGACAAACAAAAAAACTGATTTTTTTTAACGGAATCTTTCCCTTTTTGGGAAAAACAACAGGTTCTTTCAAATGTGACAGGAACTGTCAGAATTTAAAACACTATTCTCGTTACCTAAAGACAAAGTGTGCCGAGGACGCAAAGAAATTTGATTTTATTATGAACTAAACCTAACTTTACCATTTCTGGTTTTGACCATTCTATGTACAAATTTATTTGCGGGAAAAAGTCTTGTATCCGATTGCCAGTATACTTATCACACTCTCGTGATATCGCAAAATGAGCTTCGCACCTCTTGATTAGTGCCAAGTCAGGATGAGATCTCGTTTTCACAGAGCCAATCAAATACACGATGAGAACGCGTTTTGTTTTCGCTGGTTGTTTTAAACATTATTCGTGTGAGATGAAAAAAGATTTAAAAGATGCATCCTCTCCTTTCTTGAAAAACAATTTCGAAGCTTTTTTTATTAACGCTCCGAACTGGAATCTGCACTAAGCTAATTTTAAAATTCAATGTCACATTGCTAGTCGCAATTTAAGCAAATGATTCCAAAAATACCCTTCAGCAATAACCGCACTTCAAAAACTGTCTTCAATTGTATACGCGAGCGGACGCCTCAGAAACCTCTTAAAAGCCACCCGCAACCAGGGCAAATAAGTCCAACAGTCTCGCAGGTATGAGACCCTCAACTACCAGTATGCGTACTAAAAATGACTCAACTTCATTTTGATCAATAGATAAGCCGGAATTTTTTAAGCTCACAAAAAAGGACAACGCGCATCAACAAACCCCGATTTTCCAGCTAAAATTGCAGCAAGCGACCGTAGGTATAATTCATTACATTCAGAAAAGGCTTAGAGTCAAGTCAGAATCGGCGTGTTAATAGATCATCGAAATGAACAAATCGACCGACGACTTTTAATAAAAGGAAATACAGACTAGTTAATACCGAAACTAATGGAACAACCAGCTGAACTACAAATCAAGAAATGAGTTATCGGCCAAGTAAACAACTCAATATTCGTAAAATTGTGCTAAAGGAACATGACTCGGAAGAAGGTAACAACGATTATTTTGTTTTGCTTTGAAGTTGGTGCAATTTTTTTACTTTTCACTAGAATGTGTCTTTTTTGTATTTTACATCTGCTGCAGATAGCAAATGCAAAAAAAAACACATTTGAGTGAACAGTCAAAAACACAACCTCGCCAACTTCAAATCAGAATCAGAAGTATCAATTGGACAAGATCGGCAACAGAACTTCAAAACCCGAAAAAATTCCCGTTCAAAGATCAGTATAGAAGTAAAGATTCACGTTTAGAAAACCAGTCGAGAAATATTGTCATAAAAAAATTTTGAGCGATTAAGTTTTAACTCTTTTTACACTACAACCGACCGTGAACGTTTCAAAAAATAACCAATTATTGTCCTTCAAACGGCACAAAATATCTTGCAAAATCCGATAAAACACACGCCGAAACTATTTAGGCCCAATAATGCTTTCGAGCGAAGCAAAAAAAGGAAAGAAAAATATATATTAAGTTAGCAAGTTTACAAATTTTAAGAGCAACACTCGTAACTACAAAGATCAATTCAAGCTGTGCATCAAAAATTTGCGATGAGGCAACTAAGCCGAGAGAAGACAAGCAGACAATTCAACTTAAAACTAGAAAAAAAATCAATTTCATACTAAAAAAGCGAACGAACCCGACCTTAGGTTACAAAGACAACCGCGTTGCCTCTAGACCAAGTGGGAGAAATCTAATCAAATCTATCATACAAAACTGGTGGAACATCATAAATAGTGATACACCCTTAGCAGAGCGCAAATTCGAACAGGACAAATGGTCACTCCCAATGATGATTCAACAAGCTGAATTGCTCAGAGAAACAGAGAACGCGTCAAGCTTGAATGGCCTGCCTCCAGGAGCCGCTGATTGGCTCAACGCCTTCCCTTCGAGAACACTGGTACTCCAAATTACTGCCAATGAAGATCAGATCTGTTCATGCCAGACATTCGATGGGCAATCGTATCAAGCATAGGGCTTTTATCCAAGAAAACACCCCAACGACCAATGAGCTCCAAGGACTATTCCGGTCTGACCGTGACAGACCAGATGGCCTGACACTGTTTCCCTGAAAAAGCACTGGCCTGGGACTTTACCTGTGTACATAGACTGGTATGCTCGTACACCCAGCTTGCTGGTCGAGGGAGACCTACTGTGGCAGATGCAGCCGAGTCACGAAAACGCACCAAATACGAGGCAATCTCATCAACGCACATCTTCCAACCGATTGCAATCCTTGGTAAAAGAGTGACGCAAGCTACTGGCGACGACAGCGACAATTTTCCTACGACAGAGACTC